CGGGGGCCGGCGGAGCGGGGCGCCCCTGCCTGTGCCTTTGGTGACCAGCAGGTGTCAGAGCACGGGCAGGGACCGGCAGGGAGCAGGCACCGACGGGCAGGGAGCAGGCAGAGACGGGGAGGGAGCGGGGAGAGATGGGCAGGTATCAGGTACCGGAGGACAGGGAGCAGGCAGGGAGGGTCGGGGAGGGAGCAGGTTCTAACAGGTGGGGAGGAGGTATGGGTGGGTAGGGCAGCAGCGGGCATGGATGGGAAGGAAACAGCAACTATGAGAAAGGAGCAGGCAGGCATGAGCAATTATAAGCAGGCAGCAGGCAGTAATAGGCAAGGGGAAGCAGGTGGAAATGGGCAGGGAGCAGGCACAGGAGGCAGGGAGAAGCAGCAACAGCCAGGGGTGGGCAAGGAGTGGTCAGCAAGGGGCAGGGAACAGGTATGGGCAGCAGGAAGCAGGCATAGATGGGCAGGGAGCAGGTTGGGATGGACACTGACTGCCCAGGGGCTCTACTGCCTGCTCAGATATGCAAGGACAAAAAAACCTGTGGGCATGGGTTGTCTGCAGGCTCTGTGCTTTCAGAGAGTTGCACGGAGAGCCCACCTTCTCTCCAAGCACAGCCCAGAGGGCTTCCAGCATCCTCAGGGACAAGACAGCAACCATGTCTGCCTGCATGGCACAGTCCCCCTCCTGCCTAGAGGTGAACACAAGATGTGGCAAAGTGACAGCAAAGACATGGAAATGCCACCATGGACCACGGGCACTGTGGGGCCCAGGCTGGAGTGTGATGTTCAAGCTCAGCCGTGTGGCACTGAGCTCTCACCAGCCACATCACTGCTGTGCCCACCAGGAGGCTGAAACCCATATGACAGGCATAAATTGGGGTTTGAGGGGAAGGCAGGGGATGGCAGTCTGTCCCTGTAGTGGCACAGGTGACTGAGCAACCCCAGGCCACATGCAGAATGGGGCCCCATGTCACCACATTGAGCTGGGTGGCTCTGTGCCATCCCACGCACATCACAGAGGACACCCTGGTGATGCTGGGCTGGTCTGAGCAGACACGTCCCCCCCACTGACTAACATTGGCATCTTCCTCCTCATCCCCAGACTGGCACAGGACCATGTCCTGTGGGGCAAGCCAATGCCCTTTAGGGAAGGCAGCAGGTTTGGAAGGAAGGACATAGCTCCAAGATGGGGCACAGTCATCAGGGACCCCAGGGCCATCCCAGTAGTATGCAGGACACTCAGGTGTGACCATAGTCTCAGCAGAGAGGTTGAGGATGGAGTGTGCTTGGCCACAGTATGCTCATGTCCAGAGCCTGGCCAGAAGAGGGGTTTCAATAGCATCTCTCCCCCCAGGTCAAGTTTCTCCCAGAGGAATCGTAGAATCATAGAATCATTAAGCTTGGAAGAGATCTTAAAGATCATCATCATTCCAGCCCCCCTGCCATGAGCAGGGGACAAGCCAGGAGCCCAATCGCAAGGTCTCCATGAGCAATTCCTTGCCACTGCAAGGATGGTCTCCATGCTAGTTGGGCCACCAGTGGCTGCAAGGGGTGATGGCTGGGGTAGGGAGAGGCTTGGGGTTGGGTCTCCATGGGGGCAGGGGGCCCAGGACATTCCTGGGCCAGGCTGCCGAGGAGAGGTGAGGCGGGCTCTGCTTCCAGCCTTATCTCAGCACCTCCGAGTGGGACCAGCGAGAGCAAACACACTGGAATTCTTGAGGAAGATGAAACGATAAAGGAAAGGCGGGCAGAGAGCAGCACTACCCACCCCCCAAAGCAGGCGGCATCTTCCGCCTGCCTGGGACACCCAGACCCTTGGACTTGGGGAAAGAAAACAGGTTTGAAGTGAGTCAACAGCAGTAAAAGCCAGTGCACTGGGGGAAGGGACAAGGAGTTGGGTCAATGGCCTTTCCCAACCCATAGCAACACAAGGCATGGTGCCAGAGCCAAAGATCCTATGTCTGGGGCCATCTCCCACAGCCAGAGGCCACAAGACAAGCCCAGAGAGCTGAGGGGTGGCAGCAAGCTACCAAAAGTCATGCCACCTCCACAGCAATGGGGACAGGTCCCTGTACAGCTGCTCAAGGCACCATGGTATCCATCCGTGCATGGACATGTGGTGGCCAGGGACACTGCTGGGGTAAGAGCCCTCATTTGGGCACTTCAAGAAGACCACGGAGGTTCTATGTGCCCTGTCAACCACACAGCAGGACAGTGTGGGGCTGGCAGGTGGGACACGGAGCACTCCCTCTCCCAGGGGTGCTGGGGGGCACTGGCTGGGTTAGGACAGGCAGTGGGAGCACTGTCAAGACAAACTCAGCCAGAATCCTTCCCTTGCCTCCATTTCAAGCAATACAATGTCAACTGCTTCCCCGATGCATGGACCAGCAGAGCTCACCTTTTCCTCAAGTACCCCTGGGGCTTTTTCAGTGGGGATGCAGGCTCCAGCCCCCAGGGCCCCAGTGACCAGCAACCATGACTTGTATAATTCTCCAAGCTTGGTGCTGCCACACAGGGCATCTCAGTCCCTCTGCTGCAGTCTCCAGTCTGAGAACCCCCCTGGACTGTGGTTCCTGCCCTCAGAAACCTGC